AGGTAGTCCTTTGTGCCCGGCTCCTTTGAGCTAGCATAGTTTTTCTTTTCCTTTTGAAAAAAATTTGCCCATTTTTAAATTGTATTATTGTCATTTTTAAATTGAGTTTTAAAAATAAATATTCTGAATATAAGTCCCTTGATGAGATGTGAGATTTCCAAATGTTTTCTCCTAGTCCATGGTGGGTAATGATGTCTTTGAGGCACCAAAGTTTTAAAAACGACTTCTAATTTTTACAGAATGGGTCATGCTTTTGGTGTCACATATAAGAACTCTTCTGTTTAACTCAAGTCACAACTTTCTCCTACATTATCTTCTTGTTGTAGCAGTTAGATTTAGGCCTATGATCCATTAATTTGGCTGTCTGGTATGAGGTAAGGGTTTAAATTCTGAGTTTTGTTTTTGTACTTGTTTTTGCATATGGACATCCAATTGTTCCAGAATCTTATATTAAAAACAAAAAATCTTTCTCTTGTTAAATTATCTTGACACTGAGAACCAGAAGCGACGTGTAGCCCTTTCTCTTTTGCGGCCATCGCCTGAACAGCAGTGGCCAAAATGAAGTTCAGTCCTTTCGGGACTTCTGACGGAAGCAAGAACCGTAAAAGGGATTTCAATGCACCTTCCCACACCCGCAGGAAGATGATGTCTTTCCCCCTTTCCGAAGAGCTGAGGCAGAACTATGCTGTTGGATCTAAGCCCATCTGAAAGGACGCCGACATTCAGGCTGTGTGAGGACACTATAATCAGCAAATGGGCACAGTAGTCCAAGCTGACAGGAGAATATGTCAGTTACACAGAGCGGATGCAGCGGGAAAAGGCTGCCCACAGCTCTCCATGCGGACAGCCACCCCCATAAGGTAGATATTGCTAGACTAAAACTGGACAAAGACCACAAAAAGCTCCTTGAACAAAAAGCAAAGTCTATGAGGCCTGCAGAAGGCATGGTGGTTGGAGTGCTGGACTCTCACATGGCTGACCATGATTTGAGTCCTGGACCTGATGGCTTACTTTTTCACTTTCCCTTTCTCTCTCTCTCTGGTCAAATTAAAGAAAAATAGTAATAGTAATAATAAAATAATTACTTAAAAAAATAAAGAAAAGCCAAGTCCTGCCAAGTAGGGCAGGAAAAGGACAAGTATAAAGAAGAAACAATTGAGAAGATGCAGGAGTAAAATAATCTCATAAAGAGCTTTTATTAAAAACTGCTCAAATGAAATAAAAAGAGATCTTGGCACTTTTGCCAAAAATCAGCTAACATAAATATAAGGGTTTATTTCTGGACTCTCAATCCTGGCACATCTATACAGACTGTACACCTACACGATAGCGTGCCAATATCATACTGTCTTGATTACAATGGCCCCATAGTACATTTTAAAATTAGGTGGCATAAGTCTTCCTGCTTTGTTGTTCTTTTTCCAAATTATTGTGACCCTTCTAATTCCATTGTTTCCATATAAATTTTAGGATCAATTTCTACAAAAACTCTGTTGTGCATTTAATAACTTTTTAAAAAAGAATGATTTATTTTATTTTATTTATTATTATTATTATTTTTACTTATTATAGGGTACATGCACTCATTAGAGAGAAACACAGAGAGAGAGAGGAGGAAAGTGAGAAAGCAAGCCACCAGGTCTAGGACTCAAACCGCAGTTGGCCATGTGGGAGTCCAGCACCTTAACCACTGCGCCACCTGCTGGTCCCTGCTGGACTTGTGATAAAGATTACATTGAATTTATTTGATTAATTTAAGGAGAACTGCCATCATGACAATATTCTTTTGTTAAAGAGTTATTTATTTAATTTTATTTGTTATTATTTTTCAATTTGACTAGAGAGAGACAGAGACAGAGAGAAAGGGAAAGTGAGAAAGCGATCTTCCAGGTCTGAACCAGAATCGTGATCAACCGTGTGGATGTCCAGCGCCCTAATTATCATGCCACTTACCAGTCCCGACAATATTCTAAAACATACACTTGGAATGTTTTTCCATTTTATTAATCTTCTTTAATTTTTTTAGAAAAAGTTTATTGCCAGAAGGTGTATGCACTCACCAGAGAGAGGGAGAGAGAGAAAAGAGCATCAACCAGTGGGGCATGGTCACACTGCAGTCCCTCTTCTTCCATCTCTCCACCCGGTCCTCACCTTGCGCATATATGCAGGTGCATCAGGCATGTTCCCCAAGCCTCCAGGGCAGAGACGCGAACTGTGCTCAACCATGTAGGAACCCACTCCCTCAACCATTGAGCTATAGAGCTGGCCTGTCTTCTTTTTCTTTTTAAATATTTTGTCATTTTTAGTGTTCACATCTTTTTCTGATAAGTTTAATTTTTAAAAAAATATTTAATTTTACTTATTATTATTAATTTGTTATAGTCTACATGGGCTCGCCAGAGGAAAACAGAGAAAGAGACAGAGAGGGACAGAAAGAGTGAGAAAGCAAGCCTCTCAGGTCCAGGCGGTTGGCCATGTGGGATTCCAATGCCTTAACCACTACACCACTTGCCAGTGGTTAAGGCACTGGACTTGTTAAGTTTAATTCTAAGGATTTTATTTATATTGATGCTATTGTGAATGAAATTATTCTCTTAATTTCATTTTTTGATTGTTATTAATAGATAGAACTGATTATTATAAATTATTTCTATGGAAATGTGACTTTGCTAACCTTGTTTATTAATTTTAGAGATTTATCTGTTAATTCCTCGGGACTTAATTTATACAGGATCATGTCATCTGCAAATGAACGGTTTCATTTCTTCCTTCCCAATCTGTATGCTTTACTGTAGTTTCCTCATTGCACTGTCTAGAACCTCCTATACAAGGTTAAACAGATATAGCCAGAGTGAATATCCTTGCTTTGCTTTTGATACTAGGAAAAAAATAACTCAGACTTCACCACCAAGTAATTAGCTGTAATTTTTTTTCTCTTGTTTATTTTTAGTTTCTTAGTAGGTTGAGGAAATTAGGTTAGACATTAGGTTGAAAAAACTCCCTTTGATTCCTACTCTGATTATCATCATGAAGGATTGCTGGGCTTTGCCATGTTTTTTTTTCCTGTTGAGCTGATAATGTGATTTTGTCTTTTTTTTTTTTTTTTGGAGTGGTTTTTGCTATAGGGCACGCGCGCTCGCCAGACAGACAGAGAGAGACAGAGAGATAGATAGTGAGAAATCACCCCCCAGGGGGGATGGCCACGCCACAATCCCTTCTCCATTCTCCTCTCAGGATCTTGGGCACGCACGCACACGCACCCGGCATGAGTTCTAAGCCATTGGGTCTGGGACGCGAACCGTGGTCGTCTACATGGGAATCCAGCGACATAGCCTTTACACTAACTGCTGGTCCCGTGATTTTGTCTTTTATTCTATTAACAGTGTATTACATTAACTATCAGATATTTAACCATCCTTGCATTTCTAAAGTTAATCTCAGCTGATCATGGCCCCTTTTCATGTGTGTTTCTAAATCAATCTGGTGATACTTTGTTAAGGACTTTTGCATTTATGTTTATGGAAGATACTGTCTTTAATTTTATTTTGTGACATCTGGCTTTGGTACCAAGGTAATACTGGGGACACTCAGAGACTATTTCTATTGGCTTTTTTTCCTGTGTAACAGTATGCTTTTTGGGGCCAGCAGATGGCATAATGGTTACATCGCTGGACTCCAAAGTAGTCCACTGCGGTTTGAGTCCTAGAACCAGCGGGGTACGTGTGTGTGTGCCCAAGATCCCAAGAGGAGAATGAGGAAGAAAAGATTGCGGTGTGGCCAATCCCCTAGGGGATGATTTTTTGCTTTTTGTCTTTGTCTGTCTGGCAAGCACACATGCCTTATAGCAAAAATCTCTCTAAAAAGAGTACACTTTTGTTTATTTGTATGTCTCATAATTTTTTGTCCAAAACTTGACATTTTATAATGATAATTTGTTGTGCTAATGCTCTCTCCACAAATGTTCTTGCTGCTTGGCTTATTTTTTTTTGCTAATTTAGTACTTGTCTGGGCTAGATCTGTCTTCCCCAAAGAGTGTAGACACAGAGCTCCTTGCTCAGTTTCATTGTGTTTTGTTTTCATTGTGTTTTGTTTTAATTCCTATTCTTTTTTTCATTTTTAAGCTTGACTTTTTAGGAGTCACCCCTGTGCCTGCGATAGCATTGCAGTCAGCTAATGACAGGACATCGTGCTGACAGCCTCGAAAGCTTCCAGGCTCTGCCAGTGACTTAGTGTGGGCACAGGAGAGTACATTCGAGCTGTGGCCATTTTCAAGCCTGCCCTGCTGCTCACTTTCTGCTGGACCCTTCGTGTCTCCTCCGTGCATCTGGAGAAGGGCTTTCTGGTCTCCACTGCTCACGGTGTAGCCTCAGCCGGCCACTTCCTTGATCCCCACCCCAGTCCCATCTTCAGACTTGTAGAGGAGCAGTCCCTGTGCTGTCCAGACCATATGGCACTGCTCGGCACAGGTACTGACTGATCCCACTCCAGTGAGCCCCTTCAACCACAGCTATGAAAATGCCAGTGGCCCAGCTACTGTAGAGACCTTCTGTGATATCAGAATTGGGGTGGCAACATCTCCAGGCAAGACCAGAGATACACTGTTCTTACAGAAGTTGATAAGTTTTCAACCATTAATGCTCCCCAAATTATCATATGCCCTTAATTGATTTCCAGAGCATAAAAATGGCTATTTGTCTATTTTTTCAAAAAAGAATTATTTATTTGATTTTTGTTTATTATTATTATTTTCTTCTGTTATTTTCTTTTTTATTATATTTTTATTATCATCATAATCTTGTTTATAGTACATTGGATTGCATCTAACTTTACAGTGTATTACATTGCTTTTTCAAAAGGGAATGCCATGCATGTCAGTCAATACAGAGACATTAATCTCCCCACTTCATCATTCAATATCTTTTCAGTGTTTTTTCTAATCATTATTATTATTATTCCAATTATTTTTTTTAAACAGTCAATCACTATTTCTCATTTTGCTTAAAAATAAGGAACGCTTCCCGAATTTGCGTGTCATCCTTGCATAGGGGCCATACTAATCTTCTCTGTATCGTTCCAATTTTAGTATATGGGCTGCCGAAGCGAGCACTGATTTTTGTTTATTATTATTATTGTTTTATAAAATTTGCTATAGAGCATGCATATTCACCAGAGAGACAGAGAGAAAGTATGAAAGCAAGCTACCATGTCTGGGACTCGAACTACAGCTGGTCATGTGGGAGTCCAGCACCTCAACCACCACGCCACCTGCTGACCCCTATATCGTCCATTTTTATGGTGGTTTTAGGGGACAGTGTTTTTCAGTCTCCTTATTTAGTCATAGCTAAAAACCTTAACTGTCATTTCATTCTTTTTTTCTTTAAATAAATTTTTGCTATAGGGCATGAGTGCTTGCCTGAGAAAGAGAGAGACAGAAAGTGGAAATCACCCCCCCCCATGGGGGATGGCCACACTGCAGTCACCTCTCCTCCATTCTCCTCTCGGGATTAGGGCGTGCACACACACTCGCCTGGAGTGAGTTTTAAACCATGGGTCCAGGACTTGAACTGCGGTTGACTCTGTGGGAGTCCAGTGACGTAACTATTACACCATCTGCTGGTCCCTCATTCTATTTTTCATGGGGGAAAATATCCAGAGTTGTCAGACCAGAGCCCTAACTGTTATGCTATACCACTGGCGTAGTTCCAGGAGGTAGATGCCCCTAAAATTGCAGGAAAACAAGAATCTCAGCTATCCAGGTTAAGGGAAAAGGCGTGAGCTGACCCCGTAGGTTAGCACAAAGCACATAACACGAAAAAGTGGGAAAAGGACTTGATTTGAAATCAGCTTTCTCCTCCACTGCGTAGTAGTGTGGAAGAGTAGATACCTTACATAGAAGGACAAGGAGGGGCTTGATAAACAAAGGGAAACAAAACAGAGAAGAGAGAGTTTTCTTTTTTATTGTAGTAAAAAGAAATCCACACATAAGTAACAGTTACCCTCTGAGCCATCTTTAAGTGTACAGTTCCATAGTGTTACGCATATCTGTGAAACAAATCTCCAGAAAGTTTTCAGTTTGCAAATCTGAAACTCTATACTCATTGTACACCTGCTCTTTTCCCCCGCCCTCTGAAACAGTCTTTATTAAATACAATTCATCACTTCTGCCTATCAAAATTTTATAGATCAAAGGGCAAATCACAAATTGGAAGATACAGCCTATTTGCAACAAATTGTGAGGAATCTTCAATAATTCATGGAAAACGCATATTATGAAAAAACTGCATGAAAGCCAAGATTTTCTCACCAAGATAAACTTGTCCTTTAATTCTCTCCAGAAATTCTCTTCTAAATATGAAGTGCCTTTTTTTTTTTTTTTTTGCGAGGTTTTGCTATAGGGCGTGTGCGCTTCCCAGAAAGACAGAAAGCAAGAAATCACCCCCCGGGGGGATGGCCACGCCACATTCCTTTCTCCTCCATTCTCCTCTTGGGATCTTGGACACATATGTACACGTGCCTGGTGTGAGTTTAAGCCACTGGGTCGGGGACTCGAACTGTGGTCGACTACATGGGAGTCCAGTGACATAGCCATTACACTAACTGCTGGTCCAATATGAAGTGCTTTTATATGAGCAACAGGAAACACTCAAATGGCAAAGTTGACCAATGCAATGGGAAAGCACTGGATCCACTGTGGAGTCACGCGCTGCTGAGATACTGAGCACCACAGGCTGGGACCACAGGAGGACTGGGTTTGAGGCCCAGTCCAACCTAAAGGCTAGGCGTTGTAGCACATGCCTGTAATCCCAGTGACCTGGGGAGGCCGGTGCAGGAGGATTGCCATTTTCTTGGAGAGGTTTTTGCTATAGGGTGTGTTCGCTCACCAGGCAGACAGAGAGAGACATAGAGACAGAAAGCGAGAAATCACCCCCCAGGGGGGATGGCCACGCCCCAATCCCTTCTCCTCCATTCTCCTCTCGGGATCTTGGGCACGCACGCACATGCGCCCGGCATGAGTTTTAAGCCACCAGGTCCGGGACACAAACCGCGGTTGACTACATGGGCGACATAGCCATTACGCTGACTGCTGGTCCCCAAGACTCCATTTTAAAAAACTAAACAAAAAATAAAAGATACTTCAAAAAAGAAAAAGGCTGAAGGAACTTGTAAAACAGTATTTACTCTCATTAGTAATCAAATAAATCTACATTAAAATGAGATACCAGGGCCAGCAGGTGGTGTAGTGGCTAAGGCACTGGCTCACCATGGTCCAAGCCCTGGACCCGGTGTTGTGAAAATGATGCTGGGCATATATCCATGAGTGCCCAAGATCCCGAGAGGAAAAGGGATTGCAGTGTGGCAATCCCCCTTGGGGGGTGATTCATTGCTTACCATCTAATCCCCCTTGGGGGGTGATTTCTTACTTTCCCTCTTTCTGTCTCTCTCCAGTGAGTGCACACACCATATGGCAGAAACCTAAAAGAGAGAGAGAGAGAGAGAGAGAGAGAGAGAGACCAGGCTTTGCTCCTCAGATTGGCAGAAAATTTAAATGATTGTGCTCAGTGTATAGAATGTTCCTTTCAGTGAGATGGGTGAAAATAATGCTGTACAATTGGCTAGAATTTGTTGGATTTTTTTTTTTTTAGTTTTTTGCCCGAGGGCACATGTGCTTGCTGGAGAGAGACAGAGAGAGTAAGAGAGAAAGTGAGAATCACCCTATGGGGGGATGGCTATGCTGCAGTCCCTTCTTCTCCATTGTCTTCTTGGGATTTCGGGCGTGTGTGCGCATGCACTTGGCGTGATCTTCAAGCCACCAGGTCTGGGCTTGAACCACAATAGGCCATGTGGGAGTCTAGTGCCTTAACTACCATGCCACCTGCTGATCCCAACTAATGTTACTTTTAAGATCCTCTCCTTAGGTGTACCAGAAGATTTAAGTACAATAATGTTTATCACATCTTTATTTATAGGAACAAAAATGTAGTAAGCTATCCAAATACCTCGAAATATCTTACAATAGAGCACAGGCTAAATAAAGCATAACACATTCATATGACAGAAAATGTGCTAGATTTCCTAAAGGATTCTTAATGCCAGGCTTAGATTAGGTGAGAAACAAACAAACAAACAAAACAAAACAAAACCCCAACACAGAAGACTGGCCCAACAGCACAGTAAAGGAAGCTGAGTTCCACCTGGTTGATAAGGGTACAGGTGCGTGGTTGCCCAAAATCATGGCAGAAAACAGGAATGGAGGAAAAAGGATTGTAGCGTGACCATGCTGCATTGAGGGGGTGCTTTCTCCTTCTCTTTGGTGAGTACATGCTCCCTCTGGCACTAAAAGAAAAAATACAAAAAGAAAACAAAAGAAAAGAAAAACTTGCATAATAACGATCCAAATTGTGCCTCTATCTATCTATCTATCTATCTATCTATCTATCTATCTATCTATCTACTGTCTGTCTAGCTATCTGTCTATAAGCATACACAAAGAAAAAATTAAAAGAGTGGGAGGAATACACCAATATTAGTAGTGCTATCTCTGAGTAATAAAAGATTTGATTTTATTTTTTAGAGAGGTTTTTGCTATAGGGCGTGTGTGATCACCAGAAAGACAGAGACAGAGGGACAGAAAGTAAGAAATCACCCCTCAGGGGGGATGGCCATGCCGCAATCCCTTCTCCTCCATTCTTCTCTTGGGATCTTGGGCACGCACGCACACATGCCCAGTGTGAGTTTAAGTCACTGGGTCTGGGACTTGAATCGCAGTCGACTACATGGGAGTTCAGCGACATAGCCATTAAGCCAACTGCTGGTCCCATATTTGAAAATTTAAAAATAAAAATATTAAAACTTTTGACTAATGAGAATGTATTGCTTTTATGACCAGAATAAAAGCTTTAAAAAGTAAACTGTTGGGCCTGGCAGGTGGTGGATTCCCACATGGCCAACTGTGGTTTGAATCCTGGACCTGGTGGCTTGCTTTCTCACTTTCTCTCTCTCTTTGTCTTTTTCTGGTCAAATTAAAATAATAATAATGAAGAAGAAGAAGATGATAATAATAATAAATTAAATAATCATCATTTAAAAAGTAAACTGTTATATTATACTTAGTATGTAAAATAGACATTTTTTTTTCTTTTTTTTAAGAGAGATTTTTGCTATAGTGCACAAGCACTCACCAGAGAGACAGAAAGCAAGAAATCACCCCTCACACGGCAGTCCCTTCTCCTCCATTCTCCTCTCGGGATTTTGGGCACACACACACACACACACACACACACACACACACATGTTTAAGCTACTGAGTATGGGACTCAAACCACATCAACTACATGGGAGTCCAATGACGTAACCATTATGCCATCTGCTGGTCCCCTAGACAAAAATTTTTTTAAGTTAAATTTTCCATCACTGCCTAACTGTTACTCGACTTTTGTATATGCAGACTTGAGCTCAACATACAAATTATGGAAATTGAAATTTTATTCCTGTTGTTAAAGTCGCAACATTTTTTTGTAGTTGTTTTAAAAATAAAACTGAAGTGCTGGAATACAACATGTCATAAATTTATCTTAGAAGCTTGGATATTTTTTCATTTTAAACTTACATATTTTAGTTAAATTAAATTTTAACAGGCTTTTGCTATTTTGATTCTAGTAGCTGAAATATAGTAGTTCATTTAGAATATGATGGATTAAATATTTCTGCGTCTTGAACCAAACTACCATTTATAATGCTGGTATTCTGGGAGAAAATCAATTCATAGTTTCAAAAAATAGTCATATGCTTGAAAAAATTTCTTCTTGGTTATATCAATCTGATAGAATGTTATTTCTATTATTTTCTTGTTATATATTTATATAAATATATTTATATAAAATTACATAAATGTATATAATACATTATATAAGATTTTTATAATAGTAATTTAAATTTTTCTATCATTTTTATTTTTTAATAATATAAAATTATCTTTATTGTTATATATTTTATTAGCATTATTTTTATTATTTTCTTTTGCTAGAGGTTGTGTATGCTTACCAGAGAGAGATAAACTGTTTATTGTTATTATATTTAAACCTCATCTTCTCATCAAGGATTTTAGAGAAATGCATTACCCGGGGTGAAAACCATGAGGGAACAGATCTCGTTTACCTCGCTGTTTCTTTCGTCACTACTGGAGGGGGCAATGTCTGCTCAGTCTCACGACCTGGGTGACTGCAGTCTGTTTAAGCAGGTGAGCTGAACGCAGGCTGCACACACCTGAGGCAGGTCCATCCGCTGAGAAGAACCATGGGCACAGGAGAGGGATGAACTGCTGAGAGAGGAAGAGCAAACTGGTGCTCGGTCCTGGCAGGGCCCTCCCCGAGTGGAGCCAGCTCTCTGCAGCAGCGGTGCCCTGCTTGGTTCCAACTTGGCCTGAGGGCCCTGGCAGAAGCTCTGATGTGACATGTGATGGGGACTAGGCCTCAGCCAAGAATGCGCTCTGCTGGGACGGGCATGACATCACCACACCTTCCTACACAAACCTCCAAGGAGCTTCCATGCCAGGAAGAAAGAAGGGGGCAGGTAAACCCCTCACAGCCCAATCCAAGCCTGGCCATGGCAGTGAGGAACACTGTCAGAACCTAGGGAAATGGTTATTTTTTGGGAGGATTTAAAAAAATTTATTTTGCTACACAGTGTGTGTGCTCGCTGGAAAGACAGAGAGATAGAAAGCGAGAAATCACTCCTCCAAGGGGTATCGTCACACCGCAATTCCTTCCCTCTAGTCTCCTTTTGTTTTTTTTTGGGGGGGTGTCACACACACACACACATCTGGCATGAGTTTCAGGCCACCGGGTTTGGGACTTGAACTAAGGTTGACTGTGTGGGAGTCTAGTGATAGAACCATTATGGCATCTGTTGGTACCAGAACCTAATGAATTTAAGTTCCAAGTGAGCTAGGAACTGATTAGAGCCCCGTCCCTAGCAAGCCTAGGGCGGCCAGCTGAGTGGCACCCATTCATTCTGGAAACCAGAAAATGACCATTGGGACTTTGGAAAGTCCAAAAGGCCTTTCAGAAAGGGAATTTAAAAACATCTGTTACAAAAATCCATTTCTGACTTTGTTCTTCAGAAGGAAGAGCTCGCCATAAATGAGTTTTTTTTTTTCCATCTCCTTATAGTTTCAGAAAGAGATTACTTAAATATATTTTCTTTTCTTAAAATAATTATTTAATTTTATTTATTATTATCATGTATTTAAAATGATCTGTTTATAATTTATTATTACCATTTTTAAAAAAATTTACTATAGGGCGTGTGTGCTCACCAGAAAGAATCAAGAGAGAAAGTGAAAAAGGGAGAAAGCAAGCTGCCAGGTCAGGGACTCGAACCATGGTTGGCCACGTAGGAGTCCAGCACTTTAACCAGTCCACCACCTGCTGGCCCCACTATTATATTTTATATTATATGATAAAAAATATATTATATAGTTCTGGGACTTGAACTTCAGTTGGCCATGTGGAAGTCTAGTGCCTTTAACTGCCATGCCACCTGCCAGCCCCCTAAACTTATTTTCTTATACTCTGGCCTATTTTACTTGGAATGATGCTAAATATGTTTATGTCTTAATTTTAATCACAAATTTATGTATTTTTTGATGCAATTAAAGGGGCACAAATATATTCTTCCTTCTCTTCAGCATCCTCTATCCTTTTGAAAATAATTACAGAAAATTCAGAAGAAGCTTCCTGGCCTCACTGAGTTTAATTCCTGTTTCTGATTGTCTTCCATCTCTTCTTCCCGAAACCCAAGATTAAAACACTAATTTTATGCCTGCAGGGTAATGAGATGAATAATAGAACAAATACAGTTAAATCCATCATGTACACAAGACCCTCTGCTCCTTTTATTTATTAAATCAGCAGATAAATGCCAGGAGCTGAGGGAACTGGCCTTTCAAACTGGTGGTGAGGGACAAAAGTCAGTTTTATACGCCAGCAGGATCCCACATGATTGACTCCATGGTTCGAGTCCAGGACCCAGTGGCTTGAAAAACACTCTGGGCACATGTGTGTGTGTGTGTGTGTGTGTGTGTGTGTGTGTGTGTGTGTGTGTACATGCCCAAAATCCCAAGGGGAGAATAGAAGAGAAGGGATTGTGGGGAGGCCATCGCCCCTGGGCAGTGATTTCTCACTTTCCCTGTCTCTGTCTCTCTCCTGTGAGTGCATGCATCCTATGACAAAAATCTAGTACATGTAGTTTCTCTGTGTGTGTATATATATAATAAGTTTCATAGTGAGAAAAAATATATATAACGTTTCATAGTGAGTTTCAGCTTTTCCCTGTAAGAAGACCCGGCAACTCTTCCTGCATACCCACGTCACGTTTATCTCCTGTTCCGAGACAGTCTTAGCTCCTTCCCCGCAGTTCGTGACAGCATTATCATCACACCTCTCTTTCTTCATTCCCAATTTGAAGTTATCTCCTCTTGTCTGGAGAAGACCTTACACCTTATAGCACGGAGGCCCCAGCTTTACATAAACTCTGCTAACACCCACAGACACAAAGACTTGGGAATCTCTGTGTTCTGGTGCATTTCATAATGTGTTCTCCAAGAGCCAGTTAGGATTTTAAAGCCTCTCAACTTTCAATATCTTTCTTCTCGTATGAAGAGAAAAACGGAAAAACAGAGCATGCACCCACGGTACACTTCTGGATGTCTGATCAATTTACAATAGATGATGGTTTTCTGGCGTATGAACATTTGCATCCCCCAAGTTAGGTGAGGCCCACGCTGCGCTGTGTGGAGACAGTGCTTCTGAAGCTCAGCCTGCTCATCGCAGGGCGCATATTCCCAGTCACCCACTGGGAGCTGCTCATTTTAGCCGTCTCTGTGAGTCTCACAAGAGGTTTCTTTCTCAGCTGTCAGTCTCCAGGTGCTATACATTCCATTATTTTTGTAGAGAGGCAGAGCCATCACTGAATGATACTCTGGATTTTTTTTTATGCTCTTTCTTGGATTTGGACAAAATCCAAGTGCAAAATCGACGTGGCCAACCAGAACAACGACTGATTTCGAGGACTAGGGCCCATGCTGTTTCTTCAGTGGATTTCTTCTAGTTTTCCTCCATTTTGTTCTTTCCTACTCCTCTAGTCACAAGAGGAAAAGTACGTGTGTGTGTGTGTGTGGGGGGGATAAACGAGGAAAGGGGGCGGGCTCTGTGGCCTGGTGGTTGAGGCAGATGGACCCCACATGGCCCACCTCGCAGTTTGAGTCCCACACCCAGGGGCTTGAGAAACATGCTCAGTGTGTGCGCATGCGTTCCCAAAACCCCAAAGGAGGGAGAAATGGAGAAAGGAATTGTGGCCTGATCAAGTCCTATGACAGGGGTGCTTTCTCCTCTCTGTCTCTCTGTCTCTCTCTGGCAGGCGCATGCACTCTCGAGCAGAAAAAAAAAAAAAAACAAAAAAAACAGTGAGAGAAGGAAGAAGACAGAGAGGTGCAGCGTGTGAGAGGCAGGAGGGTAGATCCCGCCTCTCTTCTGTGGCTTTTGCCTCCTCAGAGATCTTCAGAGGACATCGGTGATACCAGGGCTGGGTGAACAACACATGACTCTTATTTTCACATCCTTGCCTCCCCCTCCGTAGGTTTCCTACGTGCACTTCGAATGCCCAATACCCTTGGTACGAGAACTGGCCGTGTTACTCCAGCCTTAACCACTTGGTTAGGCAGCAAGATTTTATTATGCTTTCCTAAGAGACGAGCAGCTAAACCTCAGGACCCGCCTGGGCTCTGCAGAAAGCTGTTGGATTCTCCTGAGCAGCAGACTGACAGCTTGCCTGGGTTTCATCAGCTCACCCGGGCTGCATTTCACCAGGTTCCTGTGCCAGGGCCTCCGGTGGCGTCAACAAGTGTCACACCTACTGCAGAAACAGCCCTCAAGTTTCATCACCGTGATGCTAAAAAATAGTGTCCAGCAATGACCTGCTTCATTCAAGGGCAGGGGAAAAATGCTGTCCTTCCAGAGCTTCCCTGGACACGATTCTCCCTCATAGGGAGCTATGAGCTTTTTCTGAAAACAGACCCAATTCCATGGGAGGGGCCCTGAGCCCTGAATTCCTTTGAATCTCTGTCCCGGGAACAGGGACATCTAATCAATGCCTCACACACAGCCTGGAGAGCTCTCAGCCCAGCCAGCCCGCCTACAACGTCCCTTGGACAAAGAATATTGAAAAGTAAGTATGTAGACTTCAGTTTTTACCTAAAGAATGGCTGCGCTTTAAATATATCTAGTTGTTTACATTTTCTTCAACAAAGGCCAATGCAGATCATTTCTTTGTGGACTGGAACAAAATGAAATGGGTCAGGACTCTGGGGGATATCTGGGTATACAGAGTTTGAAAGTGATCAACATTTCATAGACTTGTAGCTTAAGCCCATAATGACCCTTTGGGAACATTATTGTATTTGAATGTTTGTTTATTCTGACTTGACAGTCATTAAGATAGTTTCTTTTGCATCGTGTTTGTCCTAGCAATGAGAAAAAACAAACACAGAGGATGACTCAAGGGAGCGATTTGTAACTCTTCGTAAAGTGACATGGACAATTGAGGCAGCTGCCCAGGCAACTCAGGCTGCAGACTCCTCATCCTGAGCTGCTTGAATATTTTAGTCAAAAGTAATTATTTTTATTTTGGATTATGTGAATACTTGAAGGTCTTCCCTTGCTGGATGGGCTCAACAGGTGATGCAAATTGCTAAAAGTTGATGGGGTATTTCAAAATGGCTGACGCAGTCATTCATCAAGTAGTTACATGGAATTTTTTTTTTTTTTAATCTAAGGCAAAAAGTCAGTGTAAAAAAAAAAAAATCCATCGATAAAGCGGCACCCCTGTCATGTTGCGGTTTAATAAACACATCTAAACTTTAAGGCCACTGATTAAAGGTGTCAGTTACAGACATCTAGCAATCATTTAAAAATAGATAAAAGCAAGAACAGCATTTAGAGCTGCTTGCTCTAATTATTTTCTCTCCGCAGCCTGCTCCTTAAGTAAAGGTAGCCTTTGTTGCTGAAGGTTCATTAACCAGGAATGAATGGGAAGTCATTCTCACAGCTCCACGGATATGTGATATGTGTTATAACAGCCTACCAGCTAAGGGTAAACTGACTGAGGTTTTGCTTTTTTTTGTTTTTGTTTTTTTTTTTTTTTTGCTGTGAGGCTTCTAAATCGAAACCTAGGATGTGTGAGCTACCTTCTGACTCAATTACTCGGCAAACCCTGTATCAGAAGCACTCATGGCCTTTAACATGTTCCGACCTTGGAAACCAGGATTTAAAACTAACTAAATGTATTTGAGATCCCGAATCACATGGCTCTGTGGAAGTTTTTACAAACGGTTTGATCCCAATTTGGGGAGTTTTTTTTTTTTTTTTTTTTTTTTTTTTTTTTTTTTTTTTTAGGTAGGCTGACATTCCTGTTTTTATTGCCTACAGAGTGTGTTGCCCTAATTTCCTTGGATTTTATCAGCCTCGTGCACACTAGCAGTTAGATGTCAGCCCAGGCAGAGTGGATGAAGTGCAGCGAGTATCCTAAACTGCGTGGAGACGGTGAAAGTAGAGGGTGGCCCTAAGGAAGAAAACCTGAGCTTTCGAGCCCGATTTGGAATCAGCTCCTGACTCTAGTTTTGCAAACTTTCTGAACCCCAATGTTCTCATCTGTAAAGTGAAGATAACCGTATCTGCTTTAACAGGATTGATGAGCCAGTTTGATAAGTAAATATATCAGAAGTATCTGTCATGTTGCAATTTAAAAAAAAAAAGTTCTTCATCTTGATTAATTAAGTTTCACTCCGGGACCAGCAGGTTGTATAGTAGCTATGGTGCTGGACTCGCATGTGGTTGACTATGGTTCGAGTCCCAGACCCAGTGGCTTGAAATTCATGCCAGGCATGTGTGTGAGTGTCTAAAATCCTAAAAAGAGAATGGAGGAGAAGGGATTGCGGCATGACCATCCCCCCTGGGGGGTGATTTCTTGCTTTCTGTCTCTCCTACGAGCACATGCACCCTATAGCAAAAATCTCTAAAAAACAACAACAAAACCACTTCACTCTTTGCTTCAGGAAACTTCAGGAAACAAAACCATGATAATATAAACTATATAAAGCGAGACTACCTACCCATTATTGACATCAATGCAATGATTAAATATAACAAAGATTCGATTCTTTAAGAAAATTGTGTACTTAGAAACAATGTCCTAGAAAGCAAAGTAAGAATGTATTTGTGATAAATAAAAAAACATTTTTATGGAAACAGTCATCTCAAAAGAAAGGTAGAGATTTATCATCACCCATGAACGCTTTTTTTTTGTTTGTTCACTTTTTGCCGAAGGGCATATTCACTCACCAGAGAGACAAAGGGAGAGAAAGTGAGAAATCACCCCTCAGGGGGTTGGCTATCCTGCAATCCTTTCTCCTTAATTCTCCTCTCAGGATTTTGGGCACTCACACACGTGCCTAGTGTGGTTTTCAAGCTACCAGGTTCGGCACTTGAACTGTGGAGTCTGTATGTGGGAATTCAGCACCTTAACCAACATGCCACCTGCTGGCCCCTGAAGAATGCTTTGTATTGTATTTATTTATTTATTTATTTTTTAGAGAGAGCTTTTTGCTATAAGAGATGTGCACTTGCCAGAGAGACAGAGAGACAGAAAGTGAGAAATCACTCCCCGGGGGATGGCCATGCTGCAATCCCTTCTCCCCCATTCTACTCTCAGGATTTTGGGCACACATGCACATGCACCCAGTGTGAGTTTTAAGGCACCATATCCAGGTCTTGAACTGTGGGAGTCCAGTGATATAACCATTAGGCCATCTGTTAGTCCCAAAGAATGCTTTTTAATATATACTAGTACCATATTTAAGTACGAGTGCTCAGGAAGCCATGGAACGGAGGGAAGGCAAGTCTGTGTACACAAGAGGATGTGCCTGATTACTAAGAACGCTATGAAAACTAAGGCACCAGCCCAGTCCTCCTCAAAGACGACAGCTGAGCCTTGCATTGATCAAACATAGTCACTGCAGAGAGGTCAGGATGGGAGTGGAGATGAGAGCTCTCCGGAGTGGACTAGCCATTGATGGAACTCAGCAGAGACCAGAGCTGGGTGCCCTCTCAGGGACGGTGTTGTTTCTCGTCCAGGGATCACACGTGGGCTGGATTGAAGGTCAGTGATTAGTTCACGATGAACAGCATGCTCCCTTGTTCTGGAGTGAGAGTGAGTCAGGCCTGAGAGAGGGCAGACAGAAATCAGTCATGAGCTGGTGGGGTAGCTGTGAAGAACTTTAGTAGATGTTTTTCTTGTTGCTCGTTTTTATTGAGATACCCTTCGACCTGTGCCTAGACACACCAGAGCACCTTGATAAATTATTTGCTCTAGTTACTGATAGGTTCACAAGGAGCCCTATTATTTTGGGCTTAATTCTGCCAAGAAGAACAATTGGAAATGCAGATATGTAAATTAAAAATACCTGGGAGAAATTGTCATGTTATTTGAGGAATGATGAAAATGAAAACAACAACAATAGCAACAACAACAAAAAACATTAACCCAACCATCAGGAGAGCAAAGAACACCTAAGACTGTTTAGAGCCCTGGTAAATCATTGGCTAGACTAATCAAGAAAAACAGAGAAAGGAATCAGATAAAATCAGGAACAAAGCTGGCACTATTACAACCAATATATTTGAAATACAAAAAAATCCTAAGAGAATACTATGAGCAACTATATGCCAACAAACTAGAAAACATAGATGAGAGGGACAAATTTCTGAACATGTGCAAGTTACTAGATTGAGTCAGAATGAACTAGAAAGCCTGGACGGAATATCAAGTGAAGAGCTTGAAACAGCCATAGTCTCCCAATGAAGAAAAGCCCAGGTCCAGATGGCTTCGCTTCTGAATTCTATGAACACTGTTTCGGTAGCCATTATTGGAATTTCTGCATGTGCACACCCACCTGTCATGGCCCATGTGAACAAAACTTTGGCCATCAGGAGACTTTGGTCATCAGATCAAGAGATGGATGCCAGGTTGGAGAGAAGCTCAGTTCTGGAAGTTCAGAGCTGGGTACACTGACCCCCTATCTCTCGAGGGAGAACCACTCCATGGTTGTATTGTCACATCTGGGGCAGAACAACTCACCTTGGTCTTTACTTGATCTCCCATCCTGCTCTTTCCTAGCTGGGTGCATTAGCACCTCAATCCCTAGTTTAAGACCTTCCTTTGAGTCCAGTGGTTCTCAAACTTTCAGATATAACACAGAAGATTCTAGATTAAAACACAGGTCTCTAGACTCCACTTTTGCAGTTTCTAATTCTGAAGTTCCCAAGAATTTCTTTCTCGTCCACATTCTGAGGTAGTACAAGCTGATGGTGTGGTACTCTCTGAGAACCACTGTGTTAGCCATGTCTTTGGCCTGAAATGACTGCAGAAAATCTATTTGTGTTTGTTCTTTTTGATCACTAAATTTGCCTTATTTTTCAGAGATGTTAAAGGAATAGATAAGGATGTGCTTTCTAGTGCTGAGAAGAACACATATGGGAAACCTATCAGGAACCCACAGGTCAACAGTTCAAAGTTCAGTTGTCTGGGGGATACTGCACTGGTACCCAGTCTGTTTATTTCTGCTGAGAATTGATATTTGTTTAAGGAGATGTTAGTAGTTAAGGTAGGGATTTGAAAATTGGTGGTATTTGAATAGATAGGGGTGGCAGGTAGTCCTTCTGGGAATAAGAAAAGTAAACAAAATCATGGCAGGTGGAAAGAGGATGAATATGGAAATCAGAAGTTGGTTTGCTTGAACTAGGCATTTTTTAAAAAATACGTTGAATCACTGAATTTTCCACCTAAATTTTCCCAGCATAAATACACTACACAGTAGTCCATGTGTATGTTTGTCTGCTCTTCATTCATCATCATACATGTTATCATCAAGAGACAATCCTCCCATTTCTGTATCCCTTAAATGCCTTGTCTCTCTATTTTTCTCCTCGATTCCCTTCCTCTCACCCTCGTCCACCTCCCACCCGCCTTCCACACTGTCTCCAGTATCCACAACATTCTCCACGTTTCTATATCCTCCAATCTTTCAGTTTCTACCATAGAGTGTGAACATTCAATATACATTAAGTGGAGACATACAATGTCTTTCTGCCATAGTTTGGCTTGCTTTTTAT